TATCGTTCAAAAATATTTTACGTAAACAATTGGTGGGCTTTTCCAATATCACATCTTTATTCTCCTTATTTAACGTTTCTTGCGGTTTTTTTATCTGCTGCATCCGACTTTTCTTATTTTGTAAATTAGTTTTGAGATTCTTATGATTTATACTTTTCGCTGTAAATGTATCACCTATAATAACATAAAAACAAGTCTTTTAATACATAAATACAATATAAATTTATTGCACATAAGTCTTTCCAGGATATTTCCAGGATGAGCATTTATATGTCATTTATATATTATCGTGAATTTAAAATTTAAGATAAATAATATTAAACAATCATAAACAAATTTCATCAGAATTTCTTTTATGTAATATTAATGACAAGTTGATGATAATACAAAGAGATAATAGTAATTGATTAATACATACAAGTCTCTTTATCAGCTTTTAGCTGTTCTAAATGCTTCTCTAGGTGAATTTTTATGCACCCTCTCGCCTTTTCTTCACTAGCAAAACTAGTATATTTCTCATGGCAACCAGGGACTAATGCACAAGTGTAAGAATATTGTCTTTTGAGCTCATCGCTTGTAAAAACGGCAAATTGCTTAACAAGATGTGAAACAGGCATAGATGCAAGTTGAGATACGGTAAAACACGATTCTTTCCGTTTCATACTCGCAGTTTTAGGTTTGAATTGCAACGTCAGCATCGAGTTAATATGTTTCTTTTCTGAGTGCAGTGTTTGAGATGCAACTTCAGCAAGTACTTCCAACAATGCTGATGGACTGTCCCTTCCTACGGTACCTATAACAATTTTTATAATTATTATTCTCAAATATATCTATATATTTATCATTAAACATATAATATTGAATTTCTACTAAAAAGTTAAATTTTCTAAAAAAAAAACTTGTGACAAATCTTCAGAAAATTTTTATAAACTATCATAAAATATTCATGATAGATAAATAAAATTACACTATTTTTTGCAATAACAGATTTTACTTTATATATTTTGTATCAAAGGAAAGGAATATATCAAATAAGTACATAAATTTGCCACATGATACAACACGTACTATCAACAAGAAGTTCTTTGCGTCATCAGTAATCAAAATAGTTATAAAAACACACCTAAAAAAATGCATATTTCAATTATAAAACACTAAAATCTGTGCAATAATCATGTCCGCGGATAACATCTATCTGAAATGAAGCAGCGTCGCTGGACCGCATTTACATACGCAGAGGAAAAATTGTTTTCGTGCAATAGCAGACGCCATAAAGACGCCCAGCAGACGGTTTTTCAGTTTACTATCTATGGATGAATCGCGTACGCGCGTTTTTCCCGATTAGCACACGCGCGCGCGGATGTAATTCGGCGAAATATCGCAGAGACGAAGCGCAAACGTACCGGGATTGTCTCCGTTGTACAAATTTGACACATGCTGTGGATTTCTTTTGGTGTTCATGATGGCATTCACGTTCACGGCGTGTCTACATTCCTCGATTCCTCGTTCGCGAACAACAGGTTCTCCGTTTGTTGGCCAATCCCTCCCCCTTATGTCAATCGTCGACAACTGCTGCCAACGAGGGAAATCGAGAACTATCTAGAACACGGACTGCAGGTAAATACACGAGACTGTTTGAGGCTCAATTCCCTAGTCGTATCGATAAAAAAGTCTGTTCGTGTTGCTTGCACTTTATGCATTCAAAATCTTTGCTCTGATTTTCCTATTTTTTTCTTTCTTTGTCTATTTTCATGTTTTTCGTTTTTAATTTTACTATTTTTATTTTTATCTATTATATATTTTTATTTATCTGTTATATATTTAATTTATTTTTCTTTTTTCTTCATTTCTGTTTATAACATTTTATGTTATATATAATTGTAATAAGTGTAATAAAAAATAAACTGCATGCTTTCTTTCTTTTTTTCTGTTTATCTCGCGACGTCTGAATTTATCTTGTGTTAAGTGCAACGTTTTTAAAAATTTCAAGCAACACGAATAAATCTATTTACAATAAAATATATTAATTAATAATATCTTTTTGAATGTAGAAATAAGATATAAACATGTCTCTAATTTATTATACGTTTATATAGTTGGATTTAAAAGTAAGAACCAATTACATTTAAAATTAAGCAATTATATGTCCTAGGTAATTATCACATTTTTATGGACAGGTAAAACTACTTATTTAATAGATAGAAAAGTCTCAAATTATATAATTAATGAATTAAATATAAACTACCCAGACAACAAAAAGTGTCTAAAATCGGGTCATATAAGACTTTTTTTTGCGTCTAAAAGACGACTTAAAGATGTCTTATGTCACAATTTTAGACTTTGTGTTGTTTGGGTAATAAATAATAATTAATATCGTATTTGTTGCCGCGATTAATTACATATATCTTAATAGTTCTTAAAATTATAAGTGCGTCATCTCATATAAAATTTTTAATCAATAGCAACAAATTGCTGCGTATGAAAAGTCAGCTTTAGATCCTGACAATACAACAGATTGTTTTTTTCTTCTTTTGCAGTCTATAATTTTTTTGATAAAAAATACAATATATTATTCAAATGAAAGACACAACCCAGACAGCACAGAATATTTATGAAAATATTTATTAATATTCATTTTTTTTAAATGTTATATACATATTTCATACATATTTTATATAAAGCTTTATTCGAAATATTATTAAAATATTGACCAAATATTTTATGTATTGTAATATTTACAATAAATATAAATCAATATTTCTAAAAAGTATTTTTTACTTGGATTATAATTTATCATTAAGTATTTTCATAGCATTTACTATACATTTACAATAAATATTTCATATTATTTATAATAAATGTTTATGATCTGTGCAAAAGACCACAAAAATATATTTAAAAAATATTTAAAATAAATCATAAATATTTATAAACATTTTGTAAATATTTTATAAATATTGTGTGCTGTCTGGGAAATGTAAAGCGAGGAAATAGAACACTACGTGCTTGAACGTCGCAAACAACAAAGCACCGAGAAGTCAACAATTCTAAGCGGAAATGTACACCGCCGCGAGATATCGTAGAACGTTGTAAAGAATGTAAAGGATATTACGTGTAGGCGGTACGTAGGTATAGAAAATTAACAAACTTCAAGTACGTGTTTTAAGCAATCAACTGTGAAAGAACGTATACAGGATATTTTTTAAAAGAAAGATACACACACACACACACATTTTTAAAAATTATATTTATTATATATTTTAAAATCGGGAGCGTCTCGTTTTCTTTAAAATTAAAAAATTTTTTCTAATCCTTTACATTATTTATGTTATTAATTAACTATATGGAAATTATGGAATTTATAATTATACTAATTTATTACTTGCTAGATATTCCAATTTGATTTTTATTTTGTGATTTCAACCTTTGCAGGTCCTATATATATAATAATATTTGCGTATATCACAGAAAATATAATATCGCTGTATCCTGAATCTATACATCTTCTCGACGCGAGACCTAAAATGATTGAACGAAAGTATATCGCGGCGAATCCATAGCATTCTTAATAACGTCGATGCGGAGAGGGGAGGTTCGCCGGCGCGATCGTATACGCGGGGGTGCGCACCCCCAGGGTACGCGAGCGGGAGGAAGGCAGCGAGAGGAAAGGAAAACCGCGCGTGCACCATCGACGAATGCACCGGCGCGACGCGGCGACGGCGGGCGCATCGCGGGTGTTCGAGGGGGTGGATCTGCCGCATAGCGTGCGGATATAGAGTGCTCCAGAGAAACTCGGTAACTCGGTCGCGTAACGCGCGTCAGTCAGTTGCTATGCGTCCGGGTGAGGTGGCGAACGACGCGGCGCGCGACCCGAGAAAGGATCACCGTCCCTGAAGGGAACGGAGATCGAGTCTCGCGCTCTCATCCCGGCCGGGAAGCGGCGACGACGGAAATAACAACGACTGTTATTACGACGACGACGACGACGACGACGAGGACGAGAGGCGAACGCGTATATTCACGCACTGTCCGATCCTTTCCCCGGCGACGACGGCGACGACGACTGGAGCACCCTCCATGCGACGGTCGCGGGCGTCGCGGCACGATTAGATCCACGAGCACATGGTCCGGCGATCGCGATGACCATGATCGCGAATCAAGCTGCGTTGATCATCGGCCTCG